ACGGTGCTGTCAATGGCGGTCCCTATGAGAGCGCCGGAGGCTCTTCCAACAACCTGGCACTTCGCGAGAGAGAACTGATGCTGAGGCAGAGAGAACTCCAGATCAGAGAGCAGGAGATGAACATGCGAGGCGGACGTGGTGGTCCAATGGGTCCCGGCCCTATGGGACCTCCGATGGGTCCTCCGATGGGTCCGATGGGTCGTGGTCGGGGACGTCCTCCGCCACCCCCATCAATGGGCGGATTTGATGACGATGATGACGATGGCGATGACTTCTTCGATCCCATGGGCGGTCGTGGAGGCCCAATCATCGACCCCGACAACTTCGACATGATGAGCGTCACGTCGCGTCGCAACCGCTCAGCACCCAGCGCTAAGCAGATTCGTCAAAACCCTGAGGGCGCAGGCTTCGCGCCTGGACCAAACAGGGGCGGCAGGGGCCCATTTGGACGTCCGGGGATGAACAAGAATCGGAGTAGTGCTCGGTTGATGGCAGATGTTCCTGGTCTCCACGACTCTATCATGAACAACCCTCTCATGGGCTACTCCTCCGACCGCTACGGACACGTCGATCGCGGTGCTATGGGCGCGCAATCCAGAACCAACTCACTGACATCGGCTCGTCTAGATGAGCTTTCAGGGGGCGCAGGCTACGGTGCTTACCCTGCACCAAACGCCCGTCGCATGAGCCAGTCACCTGGCAACCCGCTCAGTCCGGGCCCGCGACCCATGGGCCGACCCTCGCCGCCAAACGGCTTCAACGGCATGCCACCAAACGGCATGGCTCCCAATGGCATGGCTCCTAACGGCATGCCCCCAAATGGAATGATTCCTAACGGGCGGCCATCGCCTCCTGGCATGAGACAGCCCATGCCACGAAACCCTGGAAACGAGGTGGCACCACAACAAGTTGAACAACACGCTGGGGTGAGCAATCTCTACCCGCCCAAGTCTCGTCCCCAAGTTCGCAGTCTGACTGGAAGCGCATCAAATAGTTCCGCTAGCGCAAAAGCAGTAGATTCCACGGAAAACTCTGCGCACAGCAGCCAAAGCAGCCTTGGACCCCGTCCCCCGGTTGGCGTTCGGTAATTGGGATAATGTTCGACTTAGATTTGGCGGCCATCCGTTTTGAATGTTGGCATCTGGCATGGACACTGTTTCAACCTCGACGACATTGGCGAAATCATCTACTGGTCCTCACTCAACACATATCCTTTCTCGTCTAAGACAGCTAGCGAAGCAGTCTAGACGTCTCTTTCGACACCTTTTTCCACAAACACGTATACGCACCGAAGCATCACCATCCGGCCGACAAGACTCTCCATGGCGGTCCGGGAGGCTTCATGGACAGCCAGAGGCTCGTCCAGATGGTGGATGTCCTAATGACGAATAGAATTGGGCCGGCAAGGGACACATTTGACGTACACAAACCGGCCTCGCACGACTGAAGCCTTTGCTTTCGGGTTTTCTCTTTTGTCTAAATCGTACATACTTGTAGAACGCTCTTACGGCGGCGGCAACAGCCTCCCTTTTTCTCCTTCACACACAGACTGTGGCAGCCCGCTAATCATGTTTTCCTTGTTTGCATGGGTTTTATGCTCAGTGGAGGTTGGGTTATTTCCCTTTACCACTTGTTTGCTATACTACGGAGTTTGATACATGCATATGGATTTTGCTTGCTTGTACCTTGTCATTCATTTTTTCCTTTGTTTGCCCCCATGGGCTTATCGTATTCCCAAGTGCTGTGTATATCTACCATAGCTACACAAACCGTAGCGCGTACCATTTTGAAGGCTGGATGGAGAAGCATTTTCGTAGTTGAGCATATGTAGGCCGACGAGCACAAAAGCAAGCAAGACGTTCCTTTCTCCTGACTATTTTCCCCCATGTTCTGTTCGTGACTAGCGAGATGTCTGCCCGAGCTGATTTCTTGTCAGGGGAGGCAAGAGATTAACAGAGGATATCAAGCTGTTGCCAAGTTCTGGGCTCTGTGATTGTGCGGAGACTGCGTAGTGCCGTTGTTCCGGAATCAGCCGCCTACGTAGATCACGGGAAATTGTGCACGTGCTCAAGCTCCTCACTTCACGATGCCGACGGCTAGGTCGCTCGTTACTTTCACTAGCGCAGCGTGCCGTGCAAAGAGCTTCCGACAGAGAGGCAATGCTCTCGTCCCGCCTTTAAACCAATTGCACGTCCCGGGAGTGAATTTGACTCGTATCCCAACGCGTTGGCATGCAAGTGATGGTGTTCATGCATGGTAATTGCACGCCCAAGCTTGCCTACCCCTCGTTCTCCGTCATAGCTGGACAACGCGGGGCAGAATGAGCATCAGCTCGCTGTCACGCCCCAATAAAGCCACGCGCCCGCTTCAGAGCCCGACACAGAGCGCGCGACCCGATCGCCCAAGACCTACAAGAAGTCCCTTCGCGACCCACACGGTAGTCACCGTCCTTGTTCTGCTGCTAGCGCTGGGTACCGGTTTCTTCGCACCCCACTTCTCCAACGCCGTCTTACGCACTGTTATCAACAAACAAGTTCCCTCCTTCACCCTCCGGAATCCAATCGTCCTTCAGGAACCGAGTATTTGCCCGAAGCCTGAGCAGCAGGTCGAGTTCGTCGGTACCTTCAACACCCAATACAAGCGCAGCATGACACTCGCAGACCAGGCGAAGCGCGTCGCCGCGGAGTTCGACTTCGACGACAATGCCGTCAACAAGGCCGTCAAGGAGTTTATTCGGGAGATGGGTACGCACGAGAATATGGAGTGGGCAATTGGTCACTGACGACGCGCAGACGAGGGTCTAGAGAAGGAAGGCACTGAGATGAGCCAGATCCCGACATACGTCACTGCCGTCCCCAATGGCACGGAAAAGGTATGGGTCCTATATGCGCCGGTCTTCACCGTCATCTAATGCTGTACAGGGCCTCTACATGGCCGTCGATCTCGGCGGTACCAACTTCCGCGTCTGCTCTATCGAGCTCCACGGCAACACCACCTTCTCCCTCACCCAGAGCAAGGTAGCCATCCCACACGAGCTGATGGTCGCGAAGACATCGAAAGAGCTTTTCTCCTTCCTCGCGAAACAGATCGAAGCCTTCCTCAAACTGCACCACGAAGAACACTACGCTGGAACACTCAGGCGCAGAGAGGGAAAGGCAGGCGAGCCAGAAGATGAGGAGATATTCAACCTGGGTTTCACCTTCTCATTCCCTGTACAACAGATCGGAATCAACAAGGGTATGTTGATGCGCTGGACAAAGGGCTTCGACATTCAAGATGCGGTTGGCAAGGATGTATGCGCTCTGCTGCAGCAGGAGATCGACGAGCTCCACCTCCCTGTCAAGGTGGCTGCGTTGGTGAATGACACTGTCGGAACTCTCATGGCGCGCTCATACACTTCGCCCGGCAAGACTGGCACATTACTGGGTGCCATCTTTGGAACTGGTACCAACGGAGCCTACGTTGAGAAGCTGGACAAGGTCAAGAAGATGTCAAAGGACACCAGCGATGGCGCATACGACAATTCAACCGGGGAGATGATTGTCAACACTGAGTGGGGCTCGTTTGACAACTCTCTCCGCACTCTGCCCAACAGCCCCTACGACGTTCAGCTTGACAAGGACTCTGTGAACCCTGGAATCCAAATGTTCGAAAAGCGCGTGTCGGGCATGTTCTTGGGAGAGCTTCTACGTCTTGCCCTGCTCAAGCTCATCAAGGACCCCAATGTTCCGCTTTTCACTGACGACAACTCGTCTTCAAACGATGTCCACAGCACCACTCAAATTCACGACGATAGCCCGATATGGAAGCAGTGGGGTCTCGACACTAGCTTCCTCAGCGTGTGCGCTGGCGATGACAAGCCTGGCCACCAGATGCTCCGACAGGCACTTAACGACCCCTATAAAATCTCCGCCGTCAGCGAAGAGGACGCAAAAGCAGTCCGTGAAATTGCTGGAGCGATCGGTCGCCGCGCGGCGCGTCTTGCTGCCGTCGCCATCGCCGGTATTGTCATCAATACAGGTCGTCTGGACAAGTCCTCGGGATCAGCTACCACAGAGCAAAAGTCAGGCATTGAGCCTGCACGTGGGGATGTCGAAGCCACTGAAGGCGACGAGATCGATGTCGGTGTCGATGGCTCGCTCGTTGAATTTTACCCCAACTTCGAGAAGTACATCCGTGAGGCGCTACGTGCGGTGCCCGAAATCGGTGCAAAGGGCGAGAAGAGAGTCAGGATCGGTATCGCGAAGGATGGATCCGGTGTTGGTGCCGCGCTCATTGCGCTTGTTGCTGGAAAGGTCAACGCGCCACAGTAAGTGTTGTTGCCTGGGGCATCCATGATGTGACGACTTAAGCATGTTGGATATATAGCACAAAAGTGCCTACTTCTGTAAATGGATCTAGGAGATGTGTAATTACATCTAACAACATTTAAACTTATTCTCTGGATTTCGCTCGACGCTTTAGCTGTGAGGCATGTAAATGACTACATTCTTTGTTTATGCTGCCTGTATGGTTCCTTTGATGGAGGAAATCGATGACGCATAATGCGTGGACCCACCCCACCACTGTCACCAACCATTAGGTAAATCGTTCGCAGCGTGACCCCATGGAACCGGTTAACATTCTTTGTGTCAAACATCCTTTGGCAAAATTCGACTTTGCAGATGCGCCGTGGATGCGTCGAGTACTAGTATTTTGCTGCGTGGAAATTGCTCATCAACAAATCATAGCCCGGCTGGCACAATTGGTTAGCGCGTGAGACTTTTAATCTCAAGGCTCAGGGTTCGAGTCCCTGGTCGGGCGACGTTCTTTTTGCTCATGCGATGCCGCTGGGACGCAGGGGACGAAATCTGAGAACGAAACACTTTTTTTGCGGATGTGGTTTGTAAAGAATGTCAAGTTTGCAGACGCAGTCGTAGGAACATTTTTACTACCAAGCACAACTTTTACGACTCCCAATCTAACATGCGTCGCGCAACAACTTATTGTACGTCCAAAATCTACGAAGTTGACTTCTCCTTGTCAAGTATGTGCTGTTTGATCACTTTCTTCAATTGATTCGCAGTCTTCTTGCTATGAGCCGATAGTGCATCGCGGTCGAGATTGAGCTTTTTCATCCCCTCCAGTGCAATAGCTGAGAGCGAATGCCTACGTCGGTCCTGATATTCCTCGTTATCAACCTGTTGCCAAGTTCGCACTTGATCGTACGGCAAGAAATCCGTGAAGACGGTATTTGTGCGGTGGAAAGATGGTCTGCGGCCGTGACTTGGATGTCCAAGTGTGTGGTTTTGATTGGAAACTTCGTCTGCGCTCTTTGCATGTGACTCTATATCTGCCTCGTCGTTCGTTTCTATGAGTGCCTTTTGCGCTGTATCTGGGAGCGGCTTGCGTTTTACGAGAAATGCTGTTGCGCGTGGAGACGGTCTGAGGTGCAGCTCGCCGTCTAAAGGTGATGTAGGCTGACATGATGCGCCGTCTAAACCAGCCTGCAAGGTAGCAAGGTTTCTCTCGGTCAGCTGCTTCACGCTTTCGAAGCGCTCGATGAAACGAGTCTGTCTGGGCTTTGGAGGCATATCTGCGTATGCTGTACGAAAGGATTGCTCCGTGCCGGAAGACTCACTATTGCAGTCGCTTGACTCGCTTGATGTTCTTCTCATCAGCTTACCAGACTCTGAGGAGTTCAGCTCGCTTGATGGCGTGGTTGAAGGACCATGGAATGTTGTCATAGCGTTTTAGAAGTTCGAAGTTGAAGCCGACGGGATGTTTGCTGTCGTTTTGGTGGATATCCTTCTGAACCGCACCTGAGACCTGGCAGTTGAAAGTATGCAGTTGCGGTGAAGTGTCTGGAATGTGTTCCTGATTCATTGTAAGGGAGGAAGAACATGATAATATCCCGTACTGTATGATCCAGGTGATTCCACTGCGTGATAGAACTCCGGCCAGGTGTGATAGCGACTGGTGAATATACTCTGACTGTTGCACGCAATACTAACTGAACGTGACTCAGGCAGAGCTTTCACCTAGTTTATGAATCCAGAATTCTGATTATAACACGTCTCACTTGCATGTAAGTGTTTGGTCCCAGGAAGCTTGGATTTACGTCAGGTTTAAGATCTCTCTGGCGTATACGCGTCCCCTCAAGGAGAAAGGCCCTAGATACTGGAAAGGATGTTGATTAGAATTCAGATGATGGGCGCATAGCTCGAGCGGTTAGCGAAAGGTGCACTTGGTAGAGTACCAAATGGCTGTTGTGATTGTGGGCAAAGGGATCGTTGTGTTAGAAATTCGTGTAAATTGGCTCCAGGATGGAGTGTGATGCAGAGCGCGATCAGGCGTTGACGTGTGGGCTGCCAAGCTAGCCCACCACTTTACGCGTCGCCCAGACGCGTCCAACTCACCATCCACCGATAGCCGCAAATTCACGAACAACACCACGACTTACCCAAACAATGGCGCTCCTAGTAGACAAACACAGACCGCGCAACCTTGAAGCACTCAGCTACCATCCCGAGCTTTCAGATCGCCTCCGAGCTCTCGTAAGGAAACATTCACATGCTCCATCGATTGCGGCAACTAACGCAACACTGTGTAGGCACAAAGCGGCGACTTCCCACATCTGCTCGTATATGGTCCTTCCGGCGCAGGAAAGAAGACGCGCATAGTCGCAACACTGAAAGAGCTCTACGGCCCCGGTGTCGAAAAGATCAAGATCGACGCGCGCGTCTTCCAGACTACCACGAACCGCAAACTCGAATTCAACATCGTCGCTTCCGTATACCACCTTGAAATCACACCTTCAGATGTCGGAAACTACGACAGAGTAGTTGTCCAAGATCTGTTGAAGGAGGTTGCGCAAACACAGCAGGTCGACTTGGGCGCAAAGCAGCGCTTCAAGGTCGTAGTGATCAATGAGGCAGACCATCTGACAAGAGATGCGCAGGCGGCGCTGAGACGTACTATGGAGAAGTACAGTCCCAACTTGCGATTGATTCTGCTCGCCAACTCCACAAGCAACATCATCGCGCCCATCAGGAGTCGAACGCTACTTGTGAGGGTTTCAGCGCCTACAGAGACCGAGATCTGCAGTGTTTTGAGCAAAGTGGGCAAGAAGGAGGGATGGAAGGATGTTGAGAGTCTGAACCAGAGGATAGCGAAGGATAGCGGGCGAAACCTGAGGAAAGCGCTGTTGATGTTCGAAGCAGTGCACGCTCAAAAGTATGGCTTCATCTCTTTCTACACCCCCAACCTTATGCTAACGTGTCAACAGCGAGAAAATCACAGACCAGACGCACATCCCACCGCCTGACTGGGAGGCACTCATCCAGCAAATCGCCCGCCAAATCGTCGAAGAGCGATCTCCTCAACGCCTCCTGCAAGTTCGCGCGTCACTCTACGATCTGCTATCGCATTGCATCGACTCTACGACCATCATAAAAACACTTACCTGGAAACTCATACCAATGACGGAAGATGCGCTGAAGCCTGAGGTTATCAAGTGGGCAGCGTTCTACGAGCACAGGTGTAAGATGGGCGCCAAGCAGATCTTCCATTTGGAGGCTTTCGTCGCAAAGTATATGAGATTGTACGAGAGGTATGTACTGGACTCCAGAAAGTCGGGCCTACACTAACAACTGTCGCAGCTACGCCATGGGCATCGATTTCGATTCATCATAGTCGCACATTCACACACATACGGTCCAGGCGTGGAGGAAAAGTAGATAATGTGTCATCATACCAGGGTGTTCTGGCGCTGCAGAGCGCGTCTCGCGTTCGGCGTTTGGTGGTTACGTCATAGCATGGAGCTTTCCCCATACCTCGAGTTTCTGAGCTTCAATACCACTACCATCTCACACAATTCAAATTCTTGTACACGTCCTCCGCACACAAACCTTCCCATACCCACAAAAACACAATCTCCGTACGTGCAAACATGTCAGACAAGCTCATGGACACCGAGCCCGGCGGCGAGCGCCAGAACCAGTACGAAGGCGTTCACACATTCGTTGAGCCTCACGCGAAGGAAGCCGGTCAACTAGGCGGTATACCTTCCCCTCTCTCCCTCTCGACGTGCGATTGCTAACCAATGGCTTCCGCAGATCCCTCAACAGGCACCTCAGTCAACAAGAAGACCTCCGACCCCGGCGCGCCCAACACCCAAGGCATTACCCCCGCAGACAAGATCCGATACGGACAAAGTATCCAAGAAGGCGGTATGGGTGGCAAGACAACAAGCTCAACGGGCCAAGCGAACGCGGAAGGTACGTCAACGGCAAATAGATGTTGTAGTTGTGCATGGCAGGCTAATCATGAGCAGGTGGATTCGGCGGTACTGAGGCGTTGAAGGACGATGACGAGAATGCGGCGAAGCAGAGGAGAGAGCAAGGGTACGGTGGAGACAAGGATATGGACAGGACTATCGGCGCATAGTGGCAGAGACTAGGCTTCACGAACGAAAGGACGCGATGGATGGATGCAAACCAACTATGATTGTTCGGAAGACATAGTAGATCTGAGCAGGTTATGGACGTATACACTACTATACATTGATGATACAAAATGAGTACCCCGTCTAAGAGTGCCCAACTTATCATTAGTCCCGAACGCCATCGCTATGCAGCCGAACCTTTGCGTTACTCATACAAAAAGCGTCTAAGAAAGAGGAGGGATATCGAGCAGAGATCAAAACCGGATCGGAGAAATGCAAGAACCTTCCACACAGGCACATGAAGCCAACCTCAACGTCTCGTAGCATCGTCAGCCCTCTGCTCGACCTTGGCCAACTTCCTCGCCAACGCTCTTTCTCTTTCCATGACACTGGCTAGTGTGTCACCTCTCTTCGTTATTCCACCCAGATCCGGTGCTCCGGTCGGCATCGTACTGCCCATGTCTCCTCGACTGACCCCGTTTCTACTGCCACCACCCCACGCACCAAGGCCCCATCCTCCGCCTGGAGCTACAGTCGGTCTGGTTGGCTCCCTGCTAACGAGCGCACCAGGTCCGTGGCCATACATGCTGACCCGTTGTACCTTTCGAAGCCTCGACAAACCGTATACAGCGACAAAAAAGCCGAAGACTGAACACCAGGCGCTTATACCGAAGAAACCAAGATCGGATTCTTCAATGAAGTTCTTCAAGTTCATACCGTACAGAGCGGCGACGAAGGTACCGGCGGTGATTGCGAGGGTAAGGATCGAGAATTTGAGGTCGAGAAGCATGAGGGAGTTGCGGTTGGCATCGAGAATGGCTTTGACGCTGTGGATGGTTAGTGGCCGGAAAATGGTTACGAAGATTATAAGACATACATCTCCTCGGTGTTCCTGATGCTCGACACCAAGTTCTCAGCTGCTTGTACGATTTCGTCGGCGACCTTGTGGTAAGACTCCAGGAGCATCTCGACCTCCGTGTGATCGTCGTCTTCGCGCGTTTTGCCCTCAGCCTTCTCAGTCAAGTACATGGCGCTGAGATCATCGTCCGCTTCCAGCAATTCTTCGAGCGCATTCCTGACTAGTCGTGCCTTTTGTTCGAAACTACCCAGCTTCTTACTGTAGATGAGCAGGTACCGTAGCTTGTCCCTATCAATGTCTTCCTCGAGCTCCCTGAGAACTCTCACCACTGGCTCACTGACACCTTCGAACTCCTTCTCCAGACTCAGTGTTACGCTTATGAGGACAGCTTCAAGTGCTCGAAATTCGTACGCGAGGGTGCCGTTGACGGTGGATTCTTTCTGGCGGAGTTTGAGATCAAGATCGTACATGAAGACAGACTGCGATTTCGAGTCGGTGGTACCGTATGCATCAAAGACAAGTACGCGGTTGTGCTTGAGGAGGACACGAAGGTTGAGGAGGTTTATCAGGATCGCAGACGGCCGGACGAGAATATGTGGGAGGAGCGAGGAATCGATTTTGCGCAGATCGCGAGGAAGTAGACCGTACTACTCTCAACTATCAGTCATGCATTCTAGGCAGGTCCGTTTCAATGCGTACCTTCGCGATCAATTCGCTCTTCTTGAACTCTCCACTGACAAGGGTGACATTGCCGTGCTCGTCAAGTTCTGTGCACCTCATCTTGAGCTCGTTCGTAGGTCGCATTATACGCCCCAGGCTGCTGCCGAACCCTGTTGTGCCTGACGAAGTTTCCTCTGGTGGCGGCTGCGGTGCTTGCAATTGTGCCAGTTTTCGCATCTTTGCTGAATTGAAGATGTTCCACCCATTGTTCGAAGGTGTCGTAGAGAAACTGCGGTGACCCTGAGGGTCTACGTCTCGAACTGAAAGAGCCGTAGCCTGTGTAACAGCAAGCGAAGTCTCGAGGACTGGTTGCGAAACCTTCCTGGCCGGCAGACATTGCGAAGTTGCGAACGTCCTACTGCACTCTTTCTTCTTGCAACTTTGTGTCTTTATCCTGCATGTCGCATCTCCCGAAGCCCATCTCATACCAAGCTTCGTCCCATATCCGCGTCGTTGCTGGGTTGCTTGTGCGCATTGCGCCAGCGGTCGCTCGAATGCATTGGTGACTTGGGCCCTCAGGAAGCTCAGAACCGACGGTGATGGGGCGGCGACTCTATGAAGCAAAGTAGGCTTCATAACTTTCCATACGTAGAGTTCCGTATACGGCAGCGATCCATACGGTCGTTGTTGAAGTCGTTCGAAAATATCGCTCACGTCTCGCCCGCACGTCATTGGCGTTCGGCGATCTTGGAAAATCATTTTGCGCTAGTGACGTCACGTGCGGCCGCGTTCATTCTCGTGCATCGTTCGCAAACTATGACATTGCGAACACAACGTCCGTTTTCTGCTTTAGGTATACCCCTATCGATGGCATGTCTCATCCGATCTATAACGCGCTGATACGAACCCATCACATAACTT